GGGGACAAGAGGAACGCCAGCGAGGGCCGCCGTCGCCTCGACGCGGCTCGCCCCTCGGCGGCGCGCCGCAGGGGGAAGCGAGGAGGGGCAGGCCTCCTCGGACTGCGGCGGGGCTTGTCGGACGCCCCCGCGCCTCCTGAGGAGCCGCCTGCGCCCTCGGAGGAGGCTCGGGAGGCTCTACGAGCCTCCTGAGCCTCCAAACGCCATCCTTCGGCGCCACCAAAACAAATGTCAAACAAATGCAAACATATTTTGTCGGAGCTTCGGTTTTATTTCCTGGTGGGCGCAAGACCTGAGCTCTTCGAAAGGCTCGAGGCCTTCCGAGCTGGCGGCCCGAGGCCTCCCGAGCTGTCCGAGAAGGCTCGGCCCCGGCACCTGCCCTCCGCCCCGTCGAAGACCGGCAGAACACCCCTCATCCGCAAGGCCCCTTCGAGAAAGCTGCCAGGGGCGCCCCACGTGCGCACGGCACCGCATCCTGAGTGGGCTCCAGCGGGGTAGCGAATCGACGTGTATCTAGCGACGCGCGCGTCGGTTTGCGACATCGTCTGGGGACTGCGCCGGCGCGCTCGAACGACAACGTCGAGTGAACTGGCGCAGATCAGAGTGAGGGGGCCGCGCGGTCATCCATCGTCCCTGGGTGCGTGGCAGAATTGCGGTTCAGTCCGGCGAATTTTGCTTGATGTTGTGTTGTGGATTTTGTTGAGTTCTCATTTCTAATGAATACTTATTGTTGATCCCCCCTGTCCGGTGCCCATTTTGTTTTTCCATTGCAGTGCTCCTCCTGGGGCTCGCACCCTGTTTTTGATCTAGGGAAAGCCTTGCGCCTCAGACAACGTTGTTGCCCCATGTTTACCAGAACAACGGCTCTCACCTGATTCTTCCCAACAGCTTATTCCCCACACATGCTTTAGTATATGGGTTCCTACTTAGCCAGAAGAATTAGTTTTTGGAAATATCTGCTGGCCTTAACCTTCACATGGTGTCGTTGCTCTTGTTGTTGGTGTTGATACTATTGTTGTTGTTGATGCTAATGATGCTGTTGCTGTCGTTGTTGCTATTGTTGTAGCTGTTCTTGAAGATGTTGCGTTTGTTGTTGCTGCTACTGATGTAGTCGTTATCATTATTGTTATTGATATCGCTGTTGTTGTTGGTGTGATTGTTGTTACTGCTGCTGCAGTTATTGTTGTTGTTGATGACAATGATGCCGTTGTTGTCGTTGTTATTGTGGTTATTGTCGTTGTTGTTGTGGCTGTTGTTGTTGTTGTTGTTTTTTGGTATGTGTTCTTGGTGTTGTGGTTTGTTTGTGTGGTTGTTGTTGCGGTGGTGGTGGTGGTGGTGGTGAGTGTTGGTGTTGGTGTTGTTGTTGTTGTTGTTGTTGTTGTTGTTGTTGTTGTTGTTGTTGAACATTATTACTTCTAAAGAATAATTATTGTTGGGGCCCCTGGTGCGCGGCCCCCTCGCTGCGCCTAGGCCGCAGCCATGTTTTCATCATTTTCGTGAGGAAGTCTCCGGCAAAACGGGTTGGTCCGGATCCGGTTGTTTTGTTACGGGCGGTTTTCCCTTGCAAAAAAAAGGCAAAGTGGACATTTCTTGTTCTAACATAGCCAAACTTCAAGAATCCCTTGCAAAAAATAGGGTAAAGTGGACATTCGCGCGCGCAAGACGAAATCCTTCCAAAACCTTAGTGTTCGTAGCGATTTTAACATAAAAACATCAAAAACCAACAAAAAATGTCAAATTTCATCCCGCGCGCTCTTGCGGATTTGTAGGAAACCCAACACTTTTTAAACATTTCTGTCAAACGGGTTTTTGCGAGCAACTTTTTCACGTGCTTCGAACTTCTCCAACAACGGTTGCGCACCTGCCAGGGCCATCATCCCTGTCAAATAATACCATGCGGGACACATTCGTTTTTTCTTTCGCGCGCGCACGCCGAAATCTTCAAAAACCAGGTGTCCAGTGTTGGAACAGGGGGAAAAGTCGTATACTAAGCTAGCGTCCAGAAAATGTTACCACAACAAGTCACTGTACCCATGCGCCAGTGTAGTAGCCACGGTCGTCCGCAGGCCACGAAGTGAAGTGTCCGAACGTCATAGGGCGGGAAGCTGGGTGTGGGTGGTGGCGAAGAGTCGTTTGGAAATTTGGTAGAGCTTGAACCGGCCCCCCCACAAAGTGGGGGTATTGCCCGCCTCCTATGAAAACCCTGGCACTGGTGAGAACGGAGTGTCCCCACGTGCTAGTAATTGTTGTTGTTGTTGAACATTATTTATTCTAAAGAATAATTATTGTTGGGGCCCCTGGTGCGCGCCCCCCCTGCGCCGCCTAGGCCGCAGCTACATTTTCATCATTTTCGTGAGGAAGCCTCAGGTAAAACGATGTGATCCAGATCCGGTTGTTTTGTTGTAATCCGCTTTCCCTTGCAAAAAACACTATAAAATGACATTTCTTGTTCTAATATAATCAAATTTCAAGAATCCCTTGCAAAAAATAGGGTAAAGTGGACATTCGCGCGCGCAAGACGAAATCCTTCCAAAACCTTAGTGTTCGCAGCGATTTTAACATAAAAACATCAAAAAACCAATGGTTTTTCAACAAAAAATTGTCAAAATCTCATCCCGCGCGCTCTTGCGGATTCGTAGGAAACCCAACACTTTTTAAACATTTCTGTCAAACGGGCTTTTGCGAGCAACTTTTTCGAACTTCTGCGACAACGGTTGCGCACCTGCCAGGGCCATCATCCCTGTCAAATAATACCATGCGGGACACATTCGTTTTTTCTTCGCGCGCGCACGCCGTCGTCGTCGGCCGCGGGGCCCTGAATAGTAGCCACGGTCGTCCGCATGCCACGAAGTGAAGTGTCCGAACGTCATAGGGCGGGAAGCTGGGTGTGGGTGGTGGCGAAGAGTCGTTTGGAAATTTGGTAGAGCTTGAACCGGCCCCCCCACAAAGTGGGGGTATTGCCCGCCTCCTATGAAAACCCTGGCACTGGTGAGAACGGAGTGTCCCCACGTGCTAGTAATTGTTGTTGTTGTTGTTGTTGTTGTTGTTGTTGTTGTTGTTGTTGTTGTTGTTGTTCTGATTGTTGTTATTGCTGCTGTTGCTGTTCTTATTGTGATTGTCGTTGCTGCTGTTGGTTGTGTGGTTGTTGCTGTTGATGCTGGTGTTGACGTTGTTGAAGACTCATTTCCAGAGAAGTCGATCTCTGGAAACGGTTCCGCACACTCTCGCTTCGACGCCAGCTGCAATTCCTCTGAAGACGAGGCTCCCGCTCGAGCGCGGGCTTGAGCGTAACTGTGTGACTTTGGAGGCGGTCTGGGTACATCTCTCCCTCTTGTCCCTTCTCTCCCCCTTTCCCCTGTTATCAGGGCTGCGCCAACTACACGTGACAGGCAAGGCAGATATACCCCGCAAGGGCGTATGATCGAAGACAAAGAGGGCCTGCATCGAGGGTTTAGGATATACAAATTGAGTGACACGCGAACAAGTAAGAACGAACAATATCAGAACATATGGTTGTGGTTGATGCATCGTCGTCGCCTTCGCCCGCGACTCGCCCGCGACCCACCCGCGATCCACCCCGCGACCCACCCGCGACCCACTCTCGTTCCACCCACGACCCACCCGCGACCCACCCCGCGCCCACCCCCATCGCTCTTATCCGCAACTGCGGGGTGCTACGTATTCTAAGTCGACTTGCCTGAGAAGGCGTCCTCTCAATACCCTCCCCTGGGGCGCACAGCCGAGCCTGAAAAGGAAAAACGGGGACCATGACCAAGATTGAGCGCAGAAACGTGGTGTCGATCTTGGTCACCGTCCGTCGTGGCCATCGCAGACTCGTGGATCGTCCTCACGAACCGGCGACGGCCAGCGCGGACCATGACAAAGATCGGCATCAACAAGACCCCGCGACATCTTGGTCGTGGTCATTGTGTTCGGGAGACCACCAGGTACAAATACCGCTACTCCGCGGACTATTCCGAGGGTGCGTTTTGACCAGAATCCCGAAGCGAATCCAGCGGTGGCGACGAGGGCCTCCTGGGAAACCCAAAATGACGAAAACAAGGGAAAGGCCGCGGCATTGGCACCTCCACCTCCTCTGCCCGTTTCTGCCTCCGAGAGCCTGACGCCCTCCTGGAGGCACCGCGCAAAGCGCTCCTCCTGCCCCCCACCAGCGGGCGCCACGCGGCGCACTGGCAACGGTCGGCCGACCGAGGCAGCGCGCCCGCCGCGAAACGGCGACAACAACGACCGGCGCCGACGCCGCCGATGCCACCGACGACGACGATGACGACGACGACGACGACGACGCCACCGACGACGCCAACGACGATGACGACGACCACGGCGACGGCGGCGGCGGCGGCGGCCGGCGACAACGGCGGCGATGACCACGATCACTGCCTGCGACGATGGGCGACGGCCGCGGCCAGCGGAGACGGCGACGGCGGTGAGGGGGGCGGCGCGAGGCTGCCGGGCGGCGCCGTGCACGTTTTTTTTTTTTTTTTTTTTTTTTTGTTTTGTTTTTTTGTTTCTACACGCTCTCGTCGCCACGGCTGGGCGCGGCTCGAAGACCTGCCACGGCGGACTAGCAGGGCCGCGACTTGTGCGATCTCAGGGTGAAGGCCCCTTGGCCAGCGCCGATCCCTGCCGAACACCACTGCGGAGGGCGGGCCACCGGGCACAGCCTCGGCTCGCGCTCGCGAAGTGGCCGCGGCCATGGCGACAGGTGGGCCTGCGGGACCCGCTCGTGGCCACAGCCGTACACGTTGCGAATGCTTCCAGCGGCCCGGTGGTCGCCCAGGGCGCACCACGCGAGCCCTGGGCGGGCGGACCCGAGATTTTCGTCGGGGCCCGGGTGAGGGCGGCGACTTTCTCACGACGCTGGGGGGGGGGTCCGCGAAAAGGGGGATCGGAGGCTTCTGCACAGGCGAACTTGAAAGGCACGGCTGCTTGCAACGAGCTCTCTGCTCGGGCGCAAGCCAATATGAATTACGGATCCGTGGATCTGGCGCGTGGGTGCCAAATCCACGGATCGGGAGGCCAGTGCCCGCGGACTTGGCGGCGGAACGCGCCGATTCCGCACTGAAGTGAGATCCGTCGCGAATCCACGCCCCACGTTTACGCGAGCGGGAGCTGGTTTTCAGAAGCTGGGGGGGATGCTGAAACACTCGGATGATCTCGGGTTTGGAAACGGCCGGGGGGAACATGCTACGTACGTAGCGACACCAACGAAAGAATTTTAGCCAGCATGGACCCCAAACTGCGTATATAATAATAACCGTGGCGCACCCTATGTGATGAACTCGCCCTGCCGAATTTGAAATTGACAACTCCACTGCTCGCGCAAACATCCCACCCACCCAACCGCAACTTGGTTTGCAAAACCCATGCGACGGCGATTGCGATGAGAGCTTGGCGTTAGCTGGTGCACTTTGCGGCCGCGTTAGCCCGAACATGCCCGCGCAAACAACGACCAGCTCGTGCGGCGCGACCGACGCGGCCGCGGTGGCGCTGACCGCCGGGAACTTCCCAGCGGGCACTTCAATGCGAATCGGTGACTTGGGCGGGCGCGATACCATGGCGACGCCTGCAATGGTGTACGAGATGATGAGAATAACGATGATGGCGCCGATGGCAGCGATGACGACTGCAAGGCCAACGGCGGCACCGATGTTGATCACGCCCGCCGATAACGATGACGACGTCCTCGCGTCAAACCTGTTTTTTGAGGGAGTTCGACGTGCGCGCGCGGCCGACGCGCGCGAGTGGCCCGCGCGGTGTTCTTCGACGCTGATCGTGCCCCCCCCCTGCAGCACGCGCGCAAAGGCGTTTGAATGTGTTCGACATGCGGCGCGAGAGGCCAGCTTGGCAGAATTTGATGAACATGTTGGAAAACCGATGGTTCCCTTATGGATTCGCCAAAGCGCGAGCGCAGATTTTTTCCGAACACTGATGTTGCAAAACCGTGTACTTGCATATGTGTTCGGGGCGTTCGTTTTCGACATCCTTACGAAACCCATGGTTTGAAGAATTTCGGCGTGCACGCGCGACGACGCGCGTGCACTTCGCCCCACTTCTTGCGACAGCGCGTGCGCAAGGGCTTTCGAACGACTTCGACGGGCGAGAAGCCCGCTTGGTAACACGTTATGGGCATGTTGAAAAAAAAACCGGTGGTTTCCTGAAGAATTCGCAAGAGCGCGGGCGCCAGCATTTATTGAACACCCTTGTTGAGAAACCGCTTGCTTTTAGATCTTTTCGAACGCTCGATTCTGACAGTCCCGCGGCCGACGCGGCCGCGGTGGCGCTGACCGCTGGGCACTTCGCGCGCGCACTTCAATGCGAGTCAGTGACATGGGCGCGCGCGGTATCACGGTGACGCTGACACTGGTGGACGCGATGATGAGAGTGGCGATGGTGGTGACGATGATGGCGATGACGACGGCAAGGCCAGTGGCGTCGCCGATGTGGACCACGCCCGCCGATAACGATGACGATGTCCCCACGTCGGTGATGAGGGGGGGGCGGGGAAGGGGGCGATGCTGTCATGCCTGGAACGGTATGAGTTCGTGCTTACGATGGGCAACGGGGCAGAAACATACATGATTTGCAATGCGAGAAGAGGTGCCGTTGAATCCCCAGGGGGAAAGGCGGGCGGGTAGATCCTGATGCTCTTATCGAAAAAGGAGATAATCCATGTGATGCAATCTATGCGGCGCAAGCCGCATTGCCCAATTTGAAATTGCTAACTCCACTTCTCGCGGAACCACCCCCACCCACCCACCGCAACGTTGTTGGCAAAACCCATGCGGCGGCGATTGCGATGACTGACAGGCGCTGGCTGGTGCATCGCTGCGGCCGCGCTAGCGCGGGCAGGCTCGCGCGCACAACGGGCACCTGATCTGGCGCGACCGACACGGCCGAGGTGGCGCTGACCGCTGCGCACTTCCTATCGGGCGCTTCAACGCGAGTCGGTGACTCGGGCGGGCGCGGTATCATGGCGACGTCGGCAACAGTAGACACGATGATGATGATGGTAGCAGTGGTGGTACCGATGACGACGTTGACGACGGCAGGCCACATGACGGCGTCGATGCTGATCACGCCCATGACGATGACGGTGTCCACGTGTCGGTGATGAATGTTACTGAAAGATTTAGACTTGCGCGCGCGGCCGACGCGCGCGAGTGGCCCGCATTGTGTCAGTTGACAGGGACCGTGCCCCCCCAACACGCGCGCAGGGTGTTCGAATGAGTTCGGCATGCGCGCGCGAGAGGCGCGTTTGGTCGCATATGAGGAACATGTTGGGAACCAGCGGTGTTCATAGTGTACGAATTCGCAAAAGCGCGCGTTTCCTTGAAACAATATGTGGCAACACCATGCGTTTGTGTGTGTGTGTGTGTATATGTTCGATGTTTTCGGGACGTTTGATTTTGAAATCCTTGCGAAACCTGCGGTTTCTTCGCGCGACGACGCGCGCGTGGACTTTGTCCAATGTTTCGCAAGGGGGGCGCTCATGGTGTGATTTGACAGAGGTCACGGGGCTAGTCGAAACCAGCCTGGCTAGGACGGTCTGATCTTATACGGATAATGCACGATGAGGCAAACTCACATCAAAATTGCGCATCCCCAGGAGGAGCGGATAACCCCCGCGGGGGTAGATCCGAATTGTCTTTTTGACAAGACACTCTATGTGGTAGAAACTGTGGCGCAATCTAGGTGGTGCAGTCTGTGTCGCGCAGTCGATATCTGTAGAGCAATCTATGTGTTGCTATCTATGTTGGTGTCAGTTCTGTGGTGACCTGCGCATTACCCATGGGGGGGGAATGCAACGGTAAACTGCGGATGGCCGATGGGTGTGTGTGTGTGTGCGTGTGCAACAATGCGGCGGCAACGAGGCGGCGACGGCCGGCACGGAACCGCCAGACCGACACACAGGCCCAGACGACGGGCGGCGACGAGGCGGCGACGGGGCGGCGACGGCCGGTACGGAGTCGCCAGACCGACAAGCAGGCCCAGTTCTTTAGACCAGACACAAGAGCCCCAAACAGTGCAAGCACTGTTTGGGGAATTATGAACTGATTGGCCGTGCTGAAGCGGCGTTGGTGCCCACCTCGAGGACCGCTATGAGCGGATCCGGCCCCGAGCTGTGCTGAAGACGATCATGAGTGCAAAGGCCCATCAAGGTCCTTCTTTCCAGAGCGAGCGCTTCTGGTGGTCTCGAATTGGGTGCGAGGTGCTCATGATGGCCCTTCTGTGCCCACCCCGTCCCGCTCACAGGGACTCTGCATGCCGCCACGATGGTAGGATGCGTGAGCGATCCGCCTCCCCCCGCGCTGCACGTATGGCGCGGTGGTTTCATAGGGGTTTGGTCCGCGAACGGTGCACACGATAATGACCCATGAGCCACTGCCTCCCCGCCTACCGCACATCCCGACGCGGCGCTGACCACGAGCCCACCCAAACACGGCGGTCCCCAAACGAGGTGTGTCGCCGCTGCCGCCGCATCCTCGCGGAAACAGCCCAACATGGCACCCCCGAAAGCGAACAGCCACCAAGACAGAACACGCATGGACAAGCGCGGAAGAAGAGGGGCGCCGGCACAAAGCTTGGTGAGCCCAGAGGCAATCGGTCAATGGCCAATGAGGGAGTGGATGAGGGCACCTTCGATGATAGTGGAATCTCTCGTGCCTGGGCTGGGACGGTTGTAGTTTCTCGCGCTGCCCTTCTCGGGTATCTCTCTCCCTCCCCACCGTTGTGCACCATCATAGGCCTCACCAGTGAGGACCGCCACGAGGCCGCACATCCTCCGCAGCTTCGATCACAAGGGCCGCGGGTGCAGACCCCCACGAAGCTGGTGGCGTATACGTGCGGCGCCGGGGGGTGGCGGCCCGTCTTCCCCTCCCACCAACGTAAGGGGATGCGAAGTCCCCGAAGACGGGACGGAGTGGGCACGAGTGGGCATCACAGCCGGTTCGTGATCAAGCGAGGCAGCATCGCCTCATCATTGACCCTTCTCGTGGGCGTGCACCTCATCATCGCCTCGTCATTGACCCTTCTCGTGGGCATCATAGCCGGCTCAAGACCCAACGAGGCAGCATCGCCTCATCACTAAGCGGTCTCGTGGGCGTGCAGACGTCATGCGCAGCAGCATGCGCTGCGCGCCGAGGGTCGGAAGCGATACGTTTTTCGAGCCGCGCCCGGCCGTGGCGACGAGGGGCCCCTCTGTCCCCTTCCCCCGGCGGTGGACAAGCCTCCCTTTAGTAAACCTCCCCTTAGGGACAACGGCCCGGGACCGAAAACTGTGGACCTGGAGCCGCAAAAATGACGGCCGCGACGCCCCCTCGCGAACCGAAAAAACGGCCCATTCCCCAGTCGACGTGTCAGGGCAGGAGGTCGTTATCCACCTCCGCTTCCCCCTCTGCTGGCCGCAGCCTCTCAGCTGGCTCCAGTCTCCACTCTTCCTTTGCTCACGCATCGCCCTGTGCGAGGCCCTGCTGGACCTGACCTCCTCGGGCGCGCGACGTCGCTGCCTCTCCACGGCGTCGGCCCCTCGACCTCCCGGGCTCGTCGTCGTCGCAGGGCTGTCCTCTGCGGGCCCATCCTTCGTCGTGGGCTGCCCTCGTCCCATGCCCACCTCCGTCGGGCGGCCCGAAGAGTGTCAGACCTGGAGGCCGAGATAAGATGAAGGGGAACTGGGACACACAAATAAATAAACACAAATAACCAGATTCCCCATATTTTCCCATATTTTCTGGGTTTCTGTCTTCCCCACCACTTCCCATATTTTCCATATTTTCTGGGGAATCGACGATTAATTGTGTCTGTGTGTTTTTTCCCCTCCTGATAAGAAGCTGCTGTGGGGGTGCACCAGGGGCGGCGCCGGAGGCGCGGGGGAGATCCAGTGCCGACCCAAGAGCGGAGCGCGGGCCGCCGGAAGTGCATGGTCGGGGGCTCTTGCTTGGCGTGTCGCGGCGGCGGCCCCAGCGACACGCTCGGGGCGGGAGGCAGTGAAAGCCTCGGGACATCGGCGCGCGGGGACTGGGACGTGGATAGCCTGCCGCTCCAAAGCGTGGTGGGCCGGACTTGGCGGCGCGACGCGCTAAGCGAAAGGTCTGGACCGTGTGCTTATGCCGATCTGGAATGTGCCCAGGAGGCTTCAGACTCTAGATGACTCCTTACCTGATGAGGGTGGCGGTGGTAATTATCCATGGCCAAGCCCTAATGGGTGCTTCACTCGGCTTCCAGGCCCTGGGTTCCTTATCCAATGATTTCTTATCCAACGCCCTGAACGTGCGGCAGGTTCGTGTCGTGCCGCCTTCTGCGCTAGTTTATCTTATGACATCACGGGGATCGTTCAACCTTGAGCGATCGGCCGTTTCCGAAACGTCAGATCGATTCTGGGCCGCCAGCGGCGTTTAGCGGCGGAGTCGCCGCCGGTCAACACGACGCGAAGCTACCGTATGTTGTTCCTCGATCCGCGATGCCTGGGGGTCTGGATCTGAGTCCGACGGCAACGAGGTTCGGACCGCTCGGGGTGGGTGTGACTCCTTGCTGCCGGAGCCGCGCAGCTCCGCCCCGACGGTGTTCTGAGAGTCCACGCTCCGCCTGGCCACCGCGGGATGACGACCACGGCAGCGACGACGACCACGGCAGCGACGACGACGATGACGACGACGACGATAACGACGACGACGGCGACTCCTGGGTCAAATCGGCTACACGCAAGAGTGACCCTAGGCAAGAGTGACCTTTCGGGCGGGGCCAAGGGGGGGCCCTTTGGGGACACCACCAGGCGCGCAAGCCGCTGCTATCGTGTCGCATTCAGCGATCGGGGGGCCTCACTAAGCTCGCACCAAAGGTCACCCTGGCGTAAAGGTCAGTCTTAGGTGTAGCCGACCAAAGATCTGCCCCTCGACGAAGCCCAACAGCGGCGACGAGGAAGCTCCCAGAGGCTCAACGTGAGTAGGCTTCCTGGCAGTCCCACACGCCTCGATCCTCGACCCTCGAAGACCGACCACGACGACGACGACGACGACGACGAAGACGACCCGCTCGGACAGCACCTCGGGCTCGATGCGAGGAAACTCATCAAAATAGCTCGTGGCGGCGACCCGGAGGAGCTTGCATGGAATCCGCTCCAGTGGTCGGAGAAACCGGCTGGCCTGCAGCACGGCGCCTGCCTCTCCGAGCAAGAGAGGGGGCACACTTCGGCTGCCCGGTCGGGCTCTGGCTTCTCGGAGGGGACCGAGTCGGGCCTGCCCTCTGCTGGCGACACTGAATAGTCCTCCAGAGTTTGGCCACCACGGGCGGTCGTGGGCGCCTCGGGGCAGCGCTGAGTTGCGCCAGGGGCCCGCCCTTCTTGACCCCAGCATTCTTCTGATGGTGGTGTCAATGCCAGCCTCACCTCTTCCACCTCCTCCTCCAGAAAAGGTTGGGGATTGGAGCAGAGCGAGAGAGGGAGGGGGAGGGCTATGTGGCACCCCTGCTGCATTTCCTATTTGGCAAAAGCTGCGGCTGCATCGGGAATCCCAGTATATGCAGCAACGCATCGCAACAGTGCGCCATTCGCACCACCGCTCCGCGACCTGCCAACCTTGTGCCGCGCCATTCGCGGCACAAGCGGCTCAACGGCCACCCCCACAACGGCGC